GACCGAACTCCCTAGGAATAGAAAGGCTGCTCCCAGGCTTTCCAAAGATGAAGCTGCGACCTCACGAGCAAGAGATGTGTCTCCATTAAGGAAGAAGCGTAGATTTCCTTCTGTTGGATCAAGTCTTCTTCAAAATAGATCTCGTATGCTAAGAAGACTAAAGTGGGAACTGCTCCTTCGTCGTCTGCCAGAGTTAAGCACCGCGTAGGCGTTGACAACAAGAAGATTAATGGCATGCAGAACATTTGGGATATCTTGCTCAAGTCTTCAGTTGAGAAGTTAAAAAATGGCAATCTGCCTTGCAAAGACGTCTACTCCAAACCTAGCTCGTTTGCAGAGAAGCAAAGAGTTGCTGATATTCCTTATAGGAGCTCGATTTGTTGGCATCAGTCAAAGGACATAGATCAAACTAGGAAAGCTGCTTCTTTACTAGGAAAGCACACATCATCTGTTGTGTTACGAGAAGTCAAGTGTAGAGCCGATCCAGCATCGATGACTCCTTTCGAGGCAAGCATGGTTGTGGCTAGGAAGGCTAGGGAGTTGTCTGCTCAGGCGAAAAGTTCAACAAGTGCGCAAGCTGAAGGCCCGAAGGTTGGCAAGCCTTGCTCTGCTACTGGGGATGTGTGTGTGTCTGATGCACTCAAGATGAACTTTTTGTCAAGCCCATCTGCTTGTGCCAAACTGATTGATCTTCTACATCAAGCTAGCGATCTTAGCACATTCTCGAACCTTTCTCTAGAGAAGCAAAAACATAAGGTTATCGCTTTGCTTCAAAAATGAGTTATTTTCGTTGTTGTGGCTATCCAGAGCTCGTCTGATTTTCACTTTACTTCATATCCACCGCCTAAGCCTACAACGGGTAAAGGATTGGTCGTATTAGATACACATATCATTGGCTTTTGTGCAAGTGGGAGATTGTTAGTAGTATGCCCTTAAAGCCAACTAATTATACGATAATTAATATTAAGGACATCTTATGTAATAACTTATTAAGTTATTCATGGGCAAGACTAGTTGTTTTCAACCATGATATTTGGTATATTATCATAAAAGTAAAACAACTATAGTCCTAGGAATATATAAGTGGACATGAGAACTATGTAATGAGATTGCATACATCGAGACTTATCATGATCCCTAATCCTATTGAATGATTCTAACCATAAGTTTGGTAGTGTACCCACACTCCAACAATAATGGGGCAATAGCTCAAGCCAAGGAGCCAAGGTCTCATAGAGAGTCCAAAACACACTGAGAGACTTACCCACATGATTAAGAGATAAAGTCAGAAAACTCAAGTTGCTTCTACGGATAACGTATCAGATCCACTACCTAAGCCTACAACGCCTAGAGGATTAGTTGTATTAGATACACATATCATTGGCTTTAGTGCAAATGGGAGATTGTTAGTAGTATGCTCTTAAATCCAATTAACTATATGATAATTAATGTTAAGGACATCTTATGTAATAACTTATTAAGTTATTCATGGGTAAGACCAGTTATTTTCAACCATGATATTTGGTATATTATCATAATAGTAAAACAACTATAGTCCTATGAATCTATAAGTGGACATGAGAACTATGTAATGAGATTGCATGCATTGAGACTTATCATGATCCCTAATCCTAAACATGTTCCTGGTCATCGGAGTATCAATTGGGCGTTGAAATTCCGCTAAGACTAGTACACACAATATCTTCTATATATGTAGAGAATGACGCGAATGTATCGATACCAAGATACGTGTGTAGGTGCTTGTAGGAGAACAAGTACACTGAAGCGATCAAATATGTGAATGATAGAATGAAAGTCTCTACTCACATGTCAAACTAGAACTCATAGATTACAATGGTTAAAACTAATCCTTAGACCTGAGATATTATAGACATCTTGAGGCTATTCAACATTAGATTCCATTATCTAATAATGTGAATAAGGAGTATTGTGTAACAGAATGATTCAATTGCATAGCCATTCCAATATGAATCGGTTCTTCCCTACACCTATTTAGCTCAGATAACCATGACATGTTGCTAGGCGTCAACCATGGTTTGTGTAAGTCATGAAAGGTTCAAACTTAGTTGACCTTCACCAATAGAATGAATTAAATAGTGAAATTTAATTCACAAGTCAACTCAGAGAATTTAAGTCTACCCACTACCTTGCTAAAAGGAACATGCAAAACTCACACCAAAAAATGTGATTAGAGGAACAAATAAAGAAAAAAGGAACTTGAGAAACAAATGAGGAAGATAATACATTGAACGTAAAGGAAAAAGTCAATGGTAAAAGTCAACAGTCAACATGATTGACCAAGTCAAACTATTCGGACTAAGTCACAAATCACAATTAAAATGTTAATTGTGAAGTTAGTTTGATGGTTTGTGTCAAGGGGCAAAATAGCCCAAGGACCCATTGGGCCTAAGAACATGTGTTGTATGACAATACAAGTTAAATGAGCCCAAGAAGAGCCCAAGATATACCATGGCCAAAACTCCGTATTGGGAATTTCTCCTCATCTTCTTGTTGGCGATATAAGCCACACTTTGACATTTCCAAGTTAGGGTTTTTGGCATTTCAACTTGGAGTTCTTGATGTGTAGGAGAGACATCCTTCCTCTCATCTTCCTTAGCCAAAAATTGGTCCAACCTAGAGGAAGTCTATCATCTAAGTCTTCTAGGTTGATTTCTCTTCATCTCTAGTCCATTTTAGTGTGGTGAGGTAGAGGACTTCACTCTTGGAGTCTTGGGTTGAGGAGCTAGTAAGAAGGAAGAAAGGAATACACATTTTCCTACAAAGGTGTTCATTCTTGGCTTGTCCAAGAAATAGTCTTCAAGGGTAAACTCTTATCCTTTCTCTCTTTTCTATTTTGTGCACAAAGAGACTAGATCATAAGATACTTAGGTTAAAATAAAAAGGGCTCAACTAGAATAAGCATAATCTATCTACCATTATGAATGATTATGTGTTATACGTTGCGGCTAAATTCATTCCAAGATTCATGAGATGCAAAATGTTTCCTTCAAGTGGTATCAAGAGCCAAGGTCTAGTCTCTTTGTGCCTTTTATTTTGGTTATTGGTTTTAATATGGGCTTAATTCAAACCTGTTTGATTTATGTACTAGATTTTCTTTTACTTGTTACTCATTCAAGGGATATGAGATATAGATGGAATGAGATGTAATATGAAAAGAAAAATCAAGAGAGAGGGCACATAGGGGTGGCAGCAACAAAGGGGATTTTTGTGCTTGTTAGGAAGATGGAGGCCCATTGAAGAACAAGAGAAGGAAATAATCAAGTCCAATGACTTGGATTATTCATAGGTCCAACGCCCAAACAACCATGGATTTTTTATGTAATTAAGACACGTAACAAAATCAATCACCTTCCAAAGACCTTAGATCCGACATCTTGGCTAGATGTTAGATGAAAATCAAGTCCATAATCATCCGTAAACCTATAGATTACTATTTATCTAAACTTCAGGAATGCAAAAGTCTTCCGTTAGTAATAGTGCATATGCCCAATTTCAAATAAAAAAAGTTATATGAAATTGATTTGATTTTCAAGATTTGGAAAAGGATGGATTCATGATTCATGAGTCTTTGCCACGGATTCTCGTAATACTAGTGAATTCTCATGGACTATTTTGTCTAAGGTGAATGATATACGGAGGCTTTCACCAAAAAAAAAATGATATACGTAGGCTTCTTTTGCAGTTGGTGGTCTATGAAATATATCATACTCTTTGAGAGCAAATTCCTTAGCAAATATAGGAATAATTTTCCTTTTACCATGTCTGTTAAAATTTGTTCCGATTTTCGAAATATTGAGATCCCTAAGGGATCTTCATCGTAATTTTATTTTTACTTAATTATAACAATGGTCTCTAAATTATACTTATTTTGCATTTTCATCCTTGATTTTCGAAAACATTTACATCTGTCATCCAATTAGATCCTACGTTGCACCACATTTACAACATTTACAACATTTTCTTTTCGTGAAATCATTTATCTGTATTTCGCAGTAAAAGAACAAAAAAAGAAAATCAGAATTGAAAGGATAATAAATATAAAAGTAAACAACATTAATACAAGCAATAATATAATTCATAATTTATCCAAACCAACTAACAACACACAATTAAGTTTTAAGTTTTAACAACGCAACTGAAACCAGAACCAAAATAAATAAATAAAAATTAAAACGAAAGATCACGACTCACGAGACACGCTCAGAACAAAAGCGAAATATCCAATTCACTCTTCTACATAACCAAAACGACGGCGCAGAGGCCAATCACCACGGACGCGGAGGCAGAAAGTCTGTTCAAAACGGCACCATTCTCCGACGGCGCTGGCGCTTCAGATGGAGGAGAAGAGATCAACGAAGGAGGACTCGCTGGAGACTCAGCGGTCGACGGAGTAGGGCTGGGGGGAGATTTCACCTTAGGCGTCGATGGAGCGGCGGACGACGGAGAAGGAGCTGAAGCCGGTGGCGATCTGGTCGGAGACAATGCCGGCGATTTAGCCGGAGACTGCGCCATGGTGTGGCCCACAAGCAGTGCAACGAGCATCAGAGCGACGAGGGTTGAGCCTGAAGAAGCCATTGTAGAGAGAGAGAGAGAGAGAAATGGAAGGTACTGGAAGGTCCTGTAAATGAAAGTAAAGAGAAAGAAAGAGTACATATAGTGGAGGAGTGTAAAGCAGTCAATGCGTCTTTATTTTGCATCCGTTGGATCCTCTTAAAGAAGATCCGACGGTGTTGAGTGTATTGACACGGAAGACACGGTTCCTGGCTGGTTCGAAGTTTAAAACGTTCGTCTGTTTCTTTTTTGGCTTTGGTGGTTCTCCACTAAGGTACAGTTGTCTGTTAATCTGGATCGAACACGTGGGTTTAGGTTGCTAGAGGTGGGCCCTTGGATGTGATGTTGGGGTTTGTGTGGATTTGTAACAGTCGAGAAATGGAAGGTTGGTCTCCTGTCCTGAGTGAGGAGAAAAGAAAGGGGATTGTGGGGATCCATTCAGGAGAGGATGGAAATCTGGGGGTGGGACCAATGACTTGGAAACATCATTAACGTGCTAATGCTTTTTGCAACATAACCTAGTAATTTACTGACCCAAAACAAAACCTAGTAATTTATTTCCGAAGTCAAAAAGGAAGGAACATGAGGATTGGCAATCTCTTTTTGCACAGGAAAAGAATGGTTTGAATTTATTTCCTAAAACACATGGATAGAGCTTTCTTTGGGTTACAGAATGAATGCATTGCACACCCACAAAAGGGCAAGTAACAGAACAAAAGGAGATTGTGTAAGCACCCAAGCTAGAATTCTACAAAAAGATGGTAAAAAGAAACTGACGGAGAGGGGTAACGGGAATAACACTGTTTTGCTATCATCGGCTAATAATATCATGACATGTGTAAAAATTATCTCACGTGTCATTGTGTTATTAGCCGAAGATAACAAAAAATGATATCCCGTTACATGAGAGTTTCTCTTGAAGGAGAGGGATAGGATTACGAAGTGTCCATGGACTACGGAGTGATCCAGGGCAGTATAATACATGGATAGGGCTTTAATGTTGTTTTTTCCTTTTTTTTTTTTTTTTGGGGTCAAAAGAAAGAACTTTTGTTCAACTAGGAACCAAACAAGAAGGTATAACGAGAAGTTCTACAACGTGATCTCGTTAAAACTCATATGATTCCCCTAATGGAGAAATTTGATCTAGAAAATTGTATAATTTGCGAATGTTTCATTGTTAGCACTACGGACCTGGCATGATATTATACTTTTTTGGGCAAGAGTAAATACTGGCTCTAGTTGATGCCGCATGATCTTGCCCAATTCAATAACTTGTCTAACATTTGGAACTACAAATGTAATCCAACTCTCCCTTATGCCACAATTCAATAACTTGTCTAACTAAACCCACCACAAACTAGCTTGACTATAACTTCTTCCACAAGATCTTGAACTTCAAGCACGCAGCATCAAGCTCCTTTTCAAGTGCTAGATCTCATTTTCCATTTCTAGCGAGGCAAACTTGTGCAAGATTTCTCCCATATTGATGGTTGAATCTTATATCAAAATTCAATTCTTTATCCTTTACCATTTTCTACAATTTTACCAGCTTGTAATGAGAATTTATTTAGTTGGTTTGAGGTACTCATGATATTATTCAGGTTCTTCTATTTTATGATTCTATAAATCGAGGGTCAGGCTTTATGTACCCGGTTGTAATTTTAAAGTTTCATCACTAAAGTTTTTCTCATACAGGGTGAACTTTCTCTCTGTTTTTTTAATTCATTCAATCTAAGGGGGGTGTATTCAATTAGGATTATAAAGCGTTTAAAAAGATTTTAAAAATCCGGGTGTATTCAATTTGGATTTATATAAACTTTTAAAAAGTCTATAACAGTTTGGGTGTATTCAATCTAGACTTGTTTGAACTTTTAAAATGTCCATTTAAATGTGGGTGTATTCAATTAGGACTTGGAAAAAGTCCATTTAAATTTACCTGTATTCAAAAGGAGATAGATTTGGAAGGATTTAATTAAGTGTTGGAGTTTGGAGAATTTGTAGGGTTTAGGTATAAATAATAAAGGCCAGCATAAGTCCAACCTCCACCCCAAAGATTTCAGACGTCGTGTTATTTTTTTATCTCTGCAGAAGACGAACCACCCTCCAAAGGTACGCTCTCTCAATATTCTTGTTGGCTTTCCTTCTTCTTCCATGGTTTTTCTTGTTTATTACTATTTGTTGATGATTATTGGTTGATGTTTTTCTTGTTTTATGGAGGTTTTGCTTGTTATTAGAGTGTAACTTGTTTTTAGGGTTTATCTTGGGGTTTGGGTTTACTGGTACTCCGGTTATGAAGTTTTCTCAAGTTCATTGTCAAGCAACAGGTGAAAATTTAACACATGCAAAAATTATGAAGGAAAAATGGGGAAAACACATGCAGGCATTCAATCGTAAATTATGCACATGGAATTTCTTACCTAGCAAAACTTTGCACTCTAGAAAAAGATGATTGTCAACAAATTATGCACATGGAATTTCTTACCCAGCAAAACTTTGCACTCTAGAAAAAGATGATTGTCAACCAACCGTAATACTCACATTAATAAGCTCGTTCAACTGTCTTTTTTTTCTTTGGATTGGAAGGAAGAAACAGGTTTTTTAATATATAAAATTAGCTATACTATTTTTTTCTTTCACCCTGTGAGTGTTTAATCTTCTTTTTATTATATATTTATGTACTTGAATCCATAAATCCAATGACTCAATTACCCAGATCCTGAAAAAGAGGGAAAAGTGAGTTTATCATGTTATCTTCTTTAGGTGCTGTTGATAGTTGTTTTAGATTTTGCTCCGTTTTTCTGCACTTTTTATGTGACATTGCTGGTATATCATAATGCGTCTATTGTTATCCTTGTTTGTATAACTAACAATAATTTGCATGTTTATATATACATATATATATATATATATATAATAATAATTTAGAAATGGGAGATTGCGAACAAGTTATTGGAAAAGGGAAAGCCAAGAAAGATTATAGTGCTTGGAGTGTGGAAGAGAGCAAAATGTTGTTGCAGCTCATGGTTGATGCTGCATCTCGTGGATGGCGTGATGCCAATGGCGTGCTAAGCAAGGCAACTGTAGAAACCAAAATATTTCCCATCCTTAATGAAAAACTTAGGTGTCATAAAACCTATTGTCATTACCAAAGTCGGTTGAAATATTTTAAGAGAGAATATCAAAAATATTCACAGCTGATGCTGAAACCAAAATACTTCCCATCCTTAATGAAAAACTTAGGTGTCATAAAACCTATTGTCATTACCAAAGTCGGTTGAAATATTTTAAGAGAGAATATCAAAAATATTCACAGCTGATGCGTCATAACTCTGGGTTTGGGTGGGACTCAACCACAAAGAAATTCACTGCTCCTGAAGAAATTTGGGAAGACTACTTTAAGGTTAGGTTCTTAACTTCTCTCTCAATATGCGCTATGTGGTAATCTAAGTACATAATTCATTACTAATAATTATTATTTTATTGTTGTTTTTGTAGTCCCACCCAACCCACAGGCATATTCAAACAAAAACTTGTGAGGACTATGAGGATTTGCAAATTGTCATTGGGAATGCAACTGCGATTGGAAAAAACTCATTAGGATTGGGTGATGGTACTGATGCAAGAACTTTTGGGGTGGAAGATAGACAAGTTGGAATAGAGGACTTTGTTTATGATAATGACACTCAGGCCTTTGTACCAAATCATAATGAAGCATCACACCAAGATCCACCACTTGGACATTCTTCTTCATGAAAGTATTAGGTATTTATGAAAGTATTAGGTATTTATTAATGGCAAGAAATTGAGAGGGAAGAAGAACTTTATGAAAGTATTAGGTATTTATTAATGGCAATCCAAGCAGTAGCTCATGCGTTGAATGAGTTTATGATTATCATGCATAGTCAAAATGTTGAACGTCCATTAACTCGACGAACAGTTACCAGGAAAGGATATAACTATATACATAATGCTTTGAGTGAGGATCCTGAGCATTTCCGACAAATGTATAGAATGTATCCAGATGTGTTTCACAAGTTGTGCAATATTATTAGAGAAAAAACACTGTTACAAGATACAAGGTTCATTTGTGTAGAAGAAATGCTTGCGACATTTTTGCGTGTTGTGGGTCAAAATAACAGATTTTCTGTAATACGTGACACATTTGGTCGATCCCACTTCATTGCTAGTAGAAGTTTCAACAAAGTTTTAAAGGCTTTGAACACATTAGCACCAGAGATGTTAGTCAAACCCGGATCTGCAATGCCAGCCAAAATAAGGGAAAGTACAAGGTTTTACCCTTACTTTAAGGTAAGTGTTGTCTTGTGTATCTTCTTTACTTTTATGTAATATTTTTAAAATCAAGATATAAACTTTGAATTTATTTCAGGACTGCATCGGAGCGATCGATGGCACACATATTCCAGCAATGGTAATAGGAGTTGATGTAAGCAGTTATCGTAATCGTCATGGAACAATATCACAAAATGTATTAGCAGCTTGTAACTTTGATTTAGAATTCATATATGTGCTTAGTGGGTGGGAGGGCTCAGCTCATGATTCAAGAGTACTAAATGATGCTTTAACAAGGAGGAATGGACTTAAAGTGCCACAAGGTATTTTTTTTCTTTTTTCTTTTTTCATTAACTGTTTACATTAGATCATACATTGGATACTAAAATATATGTATTCAATTATCAGGTAAATATTTCTTAGTGGATTGTGGATTTCCAAATCGACGCCAATTTTTGGCTCCATTTCGAGGT